AAGCAGAAAACAGCATCACCAATAAACTAATTATCCGTACAACCCACTCATCATCTCCTGATTGATTGATTGATGAGCCAAGTCCATGGTAACAGCCTTCTCTCATCCAAAGGAGACAAGATCAAGTTCTAAGCTAGCACAGAACAGAATCATATACTTATTCAAAGGCAAATCCTACCTGTGTGGGAGTCTAATAAATCATCATTGAATACAGAAGGGATTCAGCTGAAACCTATGTGGTCTCAGATGTACAGTCAACATTGCAGCACTGGCCACCAAGCCTTTGCAGTTTTACCGCTCTAAATGCATTGTCTACCTGGGAAGGCCATCACCTGTGGTGCCTTGCAGTCTCTGAGGCCCCATTACGTGAAATGTTCTGGTCCATAATCACAGTGATTTGACCAAGCACATTTTTCATTCATTCTTTCCCTGACTATCAAGCTCAAGTGATCAAAAAAAAATGCAGAGAAGCAGGTTCAGATTAAGGATCAGTGGAATTTTATGGCAAAAAAAATCACTGTTGGCATACAGATTAAAGGGGGAAGACTGGTGTGTTTTGGGAAATAACGTACCCCTTCAGTTAAAAGCCCTGAAGTCTGGGAAGATGAGAGTCAAGCAGGTGCATTTCCTCCAAAATGGGCCATATGTAGGCATTTATTTAGGCAGCAAGAACATTGGGCTGAGTGTAAAGTAGTAACACTAAGATTAATAAAATTGAGAGGAAAAGAGGCCATGGCATGATTAAAATCATTTAAAGAACAAATGTTTATTGAATATTTCAAATCAGACAGAGAGAATGCCATGTGAAAAGACAGCATCTCTGTCCTCATGGTGCTCATGGTCTAGTGTGGAAGACAAACCAACCAGACATCGTAGTAGTGTGCTCAGTGCCAGAAGGAAACAGAGTGATAAGACAAATGGAAGGGGACTCAGATCTAGTATGGCAAATGGGGAATAGGACAGCTCTTCCTAAAAGACACTATAGGTAAATGGAGGCTAGAAATATGTTGATGGCTCATCAACATGTTGCTACACTTATAGAATGGGGATGACATCTTCCTATAAAGGCACCTCTGTGAAATGGGGTTGATAGTTGTCTATTTAATGTGAGTAAAAGATGGGTCATATAACCAAACTCTGTTGCCACAATCCACATGGACAACAGAAGAGGTCATTACATAAATTTTAGAAGAAAGGCAGAATATTAGTTTAAAAAAGGAAATAGAAGCTTATCTGTGGTTAATTTGCATCACGTAGAAAATCTAGACTCATGGAGGGAGCTTGGAATCATCTAGTATCATTTCTGTCACTATCAGGAATATGCCTAAATCAGCCCGCGCAGTTGCGAATTGCCATCACTATTCAGTAGACTCAAATACAGCAGTCAGGCTGCCTCTGTCCACTTCTATGACAAACAATAATCTCTGTGGAGTTGCTTGTCTTCTTCCTTGGCTTGTCTTTTCTTTGGGAAATGAGAGTGTTGGATGAGAACAATGATTTTTAAAAACTTGTTGTTACTACAATCCACAGTAAAAATAGGCATTTTACGTGCTGACCTGATAAAGTATCCATCTTTATTAACTTTAATGCATTTGCTTTTTTTCTATTTCATTCTAATACATTTCTTTAAAAAAAAATTGCTGGTAGATCCACTAAGTGAACTTCATGTTTCATAGTTCGTATCTCATAGTCTGAACAATTCCAGGCTATATCATCTCTGAGGGGCTTTCCTACCCCAATTATGGAAATCATCCCCATGATCACCTAATATTTACCACAGTGGGGCTATCACCTACGATCCTCACAGTAGTGTAACATGGGCAGAGCTTTTAAGATTCATCACAGATCACATGGCCAGAGCATGATAGAGCTAGTAGCAGAACCCAGTGAATGCACAACAGCAATGCTTGCCCTGGTTGGCACCTCTTCTCTCAGAGAATTCCACCTCCTGAACACCCTCTGTCATAGAGCTGCAACTTAAATGCCACTCCTGATCTGTCAAAATGGGATGCAAATCTAGCAAACAGATTCCAAGAATTTAGTGTTAATTTTTATATTAATGTCCTTGCTAGATCTTTCAGGTACTACCCCATGCCAAACACAGGTGCATGAAACTCATTCCCTGGCCTGGAAGAACTCTGATTCTAGGAGGAAAAAAATCCACCCACAGACCTGAACACTAAGCACGGCACTGAAGACCCTTTCAAAACTGCACTTCCCTTTTGCTTCCTCAGTAATAACCTCATTGTTCTATTTAACCTCAGCACTATCTTCCCACATGGCTGATGGAAAGTATCAAGTCTCAAGCCTTCCCTGGAGACTCTCTGAGCACTGAAGGTCAGCAGAACCTTCAGAGGGTGGCACTCCAGTAGGAAGAGAAAGGCACTCACAGCATCTCCCAGGAAGCACTCCCTCTGTTGCTTCCCTTCTATCCCCAAGGGTCAGTGAATAGGGGATACCAACAGTCTGTCAGCCTCTTTCTAAACACCCTTTTCATCTCGGACCAGCATCAACTGACTTCAGGAATGTATAAAAGATGTTGTTTAACATCATGGAAAGATCAGGTCCCTAGATTTATAGATAACATCTGTATTAGTCTATTCTCACACTGCTATGAAGAAATCCCAAGACTGGGTAATTTATAAGGAAAAGAGGTTTGATTGACTTACAGTTCCACATGGCTAGGGAGGCCTCAGGAAACTTACAGTCATGGTGGAAGGCATCTCTTCATAAGGCAGCAGGAGAGAGAATGAGTGAGCCAGCAGAGCAAATGTGCCAGGTGCTTATAAAACCATCAGATCTTGTGAGAACTCACTTATTATCATGAGAACAGCATGGGGGAAACCGCCCCCATGATTCAATTACTTCCCACAGGGTCCCTTCCACGACAGGTGGGGATTATGGGGATTACAATTCAAGATGAGATTTGGATGGGGACACAAACAAACCATATCAACACCTTATTTATAGTACTTGAGAGAAAAAATTTACATCTGAGGCAAACGAAAGGGGCAAGAGTAATTTCAGGACCAAAACCTAGGTTTTAAAAAAATGCTTAAAGATTTTCCTTTATTTTCTTAACTATTCACAAGGCAATAAGTGCTGGTTGGTAACATGGCAGTACTTTTAAGGCAATTATTGTCACAATGACTGGAGCCTGTAGTGGGAATTTATTGTTTTGCTTTCCACATCCATTCCTCCTCCCTCTGATGACAGTATCCATATTTAATGTGAGGATCTATATTCCTTTATTCCAAGCCTGGTGGTTAAGTGGCCCTACCTTAAACTCTAATTTTAACTCCAGGGGTGGGCTCTGACTGGCATTAGTTACTGGTGATTGGTTTTGGTTTGGGAATGGGAAGAGAAACTCTAACCAGAGTCATTAAGGAAGAAGGATTTGCTTTCTGAGGCTTCAGAGAAAGGGTCTTTTCTCTTCCGCAGTAGCTGCCAGAAAAAAGTATCTTTCTATTCCTGGATGATGTGGTGTGAGAATAGGAGATGGAGGACTGTGGCAATAACAAGGTGAGAGACTTACTGAATGGAGCTTGAGGATGAAGCTGACCTGGCAGAGTACAGAGCAGACAGCCTGGGAGAATCTGCATCTTGAGCAAGGCCATCTGGGCTTCTGATTCAATTCCTGCCTGCAGCCCTTCCTCTAGATTCTTTAGTTAAAGGAGCCTTTTGTGTGCTTAAGCCAGTTTGTATTTTCTAATGCTTACTAGCAAAGTAATTCAAGGTGATAACAAACACCTTGAACACTTTGAAAAGTGGTAGTGTCCAAACAATTTAAGGTTTCTTTTGGAAAGAACAGGAGTCCAACGTGATAGACAGAGATTGTTATTTTTTCCTTAGCTGCTTCTATTAATTCTGCAGGAAACAATCACAATACTTCGTATTATATAGTGGTTTCTACTTCTCAAAAACATCTTTTCCACATAGATTGCCTCACCTGAATCTCACAATCCAGAGTCAGAGCCGTTCTAAAAAAAATTATTTTGCAGTAGTTGTTATTTATTCAGCATTTTATAAGTTTAAAATATGATTTCAAGTTCAGTGATTCATTTGATTGTCACAATAACCAAATGAGGTAGAAATGACAGGTCTATCATAATGCCTATTTTAGGCTGGAGAAAGTTGAACCTCAGATAAGTTAAATGAGATGTGTAAGTTAATTTGAGGAGGTAGGGGGAGACAGGACTTAAGTCTCAGTCCCTTGCTTCTATTTCTCTCACCCGATCCTCTGAACCAAAGATACTATACTTAATTCCCAGAAACAAATGTGTGTACTCTTAGGTTAATACAAAAGGGCTAGCAGTGGGATAAACTTGACCAAAGCACTGGAGATCTGGGTTCCAGTAGCAGAGCCAGAACTAACTAGCTGGTGACCTTGGGCAGTTTTCCATTGTCTTGTGTTTTGTAAAAGCGTAGGTTTAAACTAGGATCTCTCATGCTCCTGCAAGCTCGAAAAGTTCTATAAGTCTAGACTTTCCCATCCCTGCTCGCAAATTAATCTTTTTCCCAGAACAATAATCATAACCTTACTTTTTTCTCCCACTGGGTACCAGGTACTGTGCTAAGACCTCTACCCCCATTTTCTCTTTAGATCTCACGACATTCCCAAGACAATTATATCTCTTTTACAGATAAGGAAACCTGGACTCACGTAGGTAAAATGAACAGCACAAGATCAACAAAATTAGTAAGCATCAAGGGGAGAGCTGATACCAGGTCAGACTGACGGCGAGGATCTAAACCTGGTCTATGGTGTTACTGCAGAAGAAATTAGGCTCCCTGCATTACTGGTCGCCTCTCTCCACGCATGAAGGGGAGAGGAGGGACAAGAAAGCCAAATCAAGTCACAACAAGCCCCTGCAAGGCAAAAACAGAAAAACCGCTGGAAGGGCGCCCGGGAGGATCCTTTCCAGGTCCAGGGGGCGGGGCGCAATTTTCCGGCAGCCACGGGATAGCTACGCGGGCCGTCCTGCTCCCCGGCCCATTACCTTGTTGAGATGAGGGTTCCTGGTGACATCGTATCCACGCTTCTTCAGGGGCACGGGGCGCGCCGAGCCGGACTTGGAGTGGCAGCCTCGGGCAGACGCGGAGGGTGTCCAGCGCGGGAGGGCGCCGCAGGCCCGGCCCGGCCAGAGAGCCAGCCGCGTGCCTGTGCCCAGCGCGGCGCCCATGGTCCTTGTGCAAACCTGGCACGGGAGAGAAAGCAAGGTCAGGGCCTCCTTCCAGCCAGCCAAGACCCAAGCGCGCTGCGGGGCACCGGGCCTGAGCCGGAGACGCGTCCTCGGGAGGCTGGTGGGCAGGGGCTCCCAAAGGGTTAAAGACGCCAGCCGTCGCCCCTCCCCCAACCCCTCCACCCCCGCGTTCCCCGGCGGCCACCTGCTGGGCTCGGTGCGGTGGGCCAGGCCTCGCCAAGCGCCAGGCAAAGCGAAACCAAGCCTTGGAAGCAGATCCGGTGCGGGTGACAGCCTGCGGCACCCCCGCCCCCATCCCTGTGAAAAAGAGGCGACTGAGTGGCGAGGGGTCCCCGAACCCTCAATCCCGTGTGGTGGTTTGCCTCGTTCCGCTCTATCTCCGACCCACCTGCGCTGCCCGGGAAGCTGAGGTAAACGCGGTCCCGCTGCGGAGCAGGCGGGGCGAGGAGCTGCGGTCTGAGTCCTCTCCCGCCAATGGCTGCACCGCGCCGGCGGCCGCGAGCTCGCGGGGCTGGTGCGTTCCTGAAAGAGCGGTCCCGAAACCTTTGTTCTCAGTGCCTGGCTTCCCCTGAGGACGCGCGTGGGGCGCCTCAGCACCGCGTGCACGTGGTTGTCCCCAGTGACAAGAAGCAGCTCAGAATGCCCCCTTGAGAGTCTCCATCTTGGCAAGACTAAATGCACAGAGGGGGATTTGCGTTTAGGGGTCGCATACCCTCGCACTCTAGCAACATTCGGGGAAGGGCGCGCCTTCGGGATTTGGATAGAAATCCTCAGGCATTCGGTGATCAGTGTTGCCTTGGGCTGCCCAGAACAATAGCTATTCGCCACATGTGGGTATATAAATGTAAATAAATTCATCTAAATAGAGTAAAATGTAACATCCAGTCTGCAGTCACATAGCCACATTTCCAGTTCAAGAGCCACTTGTATGCAGATACGCCTGTTGGGCATCTTGATATAGGGGCCACGGTTACTAAGAGGACTCCCAGGGACCCCGTGGAGCTTCCCATTGGGGCCAGACAGGGATCTTGCGGCCTATCTAGCACCAAACTTAATTTTATTCTTTCTCCACACAGTAGTCAGGAGATTCCTTTTAAAGCCAACACTTTGTTTTGTGTGGAATAAAATCCAAACTTTCAGGCCTGCAGGGTCTCCCATAGGCTGGTACCTGCCAGCTTCTTCAAGCTTATCCCACTCTACTCTCCCCTTCTCACTGAGCTCTGGCCATACTTGCTCCTCCCTGGGTCTTCACCCCAGTCGGTTCCCGCCCAGTGCAGGGCTTTTGTACTGGCATTGCCTCTGCTTGGAAGTCTCATACTCCAGCCTTCCAATCACTGCTTCATTCCCATCTCTCCTGTCTCCACTAAGATGTCAACTCAAAGGCCTTACCTCTATTCCATGCAATGTCAGCCTGCACTAGGGACTATAGAGTGAACAGGTTTTTCTCTTTAGACATCTTACCACAGTCAGTAGTGAGCTTGTTTTTCTGATTGTTTACTGTTTCCTGTCTAGAATGTAAGCTTCATGAGGAGAGGCTCTTTGCCTGTGAACCTGTGTGTCCTCACTGCCTGCTATTGTAGTTGCACAATAAATTGTTGTTAGGTGAACTGAAGGAAGTGACAGCCACTTTCATAAGGATCGTGAATCCTTAGACTTACTGCCAGACAGGTGGCACGGTCCTCTACTGACGCCCCTTCAAAGCTCCCCGTCACCAGCATTAGCCCTGTTGTAAGTGCCAAGCAGAGATCATGGTGCATTATGTGCTACGGGCTGCTCCTGCCTGAGTTCAGGATTCCCTCATCTCTTCAGGAATAATTGTTTCCTCCTGAAGTCTCTCCCCTCCCTGTGTGATACCCAGTTTTCAACTTGAATGATCTCCAGAAAAATAGTCCTGTCCAAAACAGAATTACAATTACCTGGTAGGGAATAAGGATGGGGCAAAAATACAGATTTCCAGGCCCCATCAGTGGAGAGTCTCATCCAGTAGGGTTTACATCTCTAAAGCCAGGTTTACTCTTTGACCACAAATTTACGTAAACTTATAAATTATATATATTTTTTTCCACCTTAAACCAGTTTGTGTCAGATGTGTGATTGTGTGCAACCAATAGTATTAACTAAATCATCTCAACACTGTTTTTATATTGGCACCTCTTCCCACCAGTCAAATAACATCTTTTGGGGGCAGAGATCATGTGTGTTTCCAACTTTGGTAACTAGCGCATACAAATAATTGAAAACTGTTTGTTGAACCAGTTTGCCTTTGCTCAATACAATGACCTTTCCCTCCCCTGGAGGATATTTAATAGGTAACTGCTGTCATTTGAAACCAGGATGTAAACAGTAAAGGTTTCCAAACAAGCAAATATAATTTTTATAGCATCAATTCACTAAAGCTTGTACAGTTTACACATAAAAGTCTCTCACATGTCCTAACCTGTGGCCTACATTCTCGTAACCCAGGCATAATTCTACAATGTTATTTTGTGTGTGCGGGGTGTGTGTGTGTGTGTGTGTGTGTGTGTGTGTGTGTGTGTTTATTCTTTGGTTAAAGGCAGGTCCACCAGGAGCAGTGACAGAAGGCAGTAGCCAGAGGAGGTGTCTTCTCAGTTCTGTAGAGTTGTCCAGGGTCCCAGGTTTTCTCTTTTGCAGCTGAGCTCTTCTCTAGGTGTTGCCCATCTCTACACAGCACTAATACCATGTTAGCATTCCAGCCGTGGAAAGGGGGGATGAGGAAACAGAGGGAAAGCAAATCTATTTTTTTAAATTGAGACAGAGTCTCACTGTGTTGTTTAGGCTGGTCTTGAACTCCTGGGCTCAAACAGTCCTCCTGTCTCAGCTTCCCAAAGTGCTGGGATTACAGGCATGAACCACCATGCCCAGCCAAAGCAAATCTATTTTACGGAAGTGACATGAAAGTTATATATATTACTTCTACTCATATTCCATTGGTAAAAACTAAGCCACACTTTCACATCAAGCTACAGGGAGGGCTGGAAAATATTGTTTTTAGTGAAAAAGACATGTATGTGCTCTACTAAAACTCAGTGGGGAGTCTATTACTGAAAAGAAGAAGTGGAGAATGGTTCCTAGGGACCACTAACTAGAAGTCTAAATATAATACTCATTTTCTGTTGAAGTGCTTAGCCCGTAGTGGGTGCTCAGAAACTGTTAGCTGTTATTATTGGCACGTGTGGTTTCCATCTCCGCTTTCATGGCAACTTCCTTACTTTTAGAGCTGAATATAGGATTTCAGAGACCAGGATCAGAACCATGGAAACATTCCAGAACTTCTTCCAACTCCACACAACTCTGACTTCCTTAGCCAGCCAGGAAGCTGGCTTGTGATCGGGTGATCTGGTCCAGCACTATATAGAACTAATGGGTCTCCATAATTTGTCTTGGCCCCTCTCCCTTCGTATCCCATTTACTGACTTCTGCCATCGTTGTAATGATGCTTCTTGGGATAGCAGAGAAGGAATCTCATTCCCTCCTCTCCAGCCAATGGTTCCACATTCCAGGTTTAGTTAATACGTTTGCTTTTCTATTGTGATTACAGAGATTTAAATATCTACCTGTTTCCCTGCTAGATTATGAATTCCTTGAGGACTGGAACCACGATTATAATTCTTTGCATCTCCAGTACCTGGGACAGTGTCTGTTACTGAGAATTAACTCAGTTTGTTGAATTAAATATAATTATGGTTCAAATTTGTACATAACCTTCCAAAGAGTGGAATTAATAGAAATTAAATTTGGTACATTGTTAAAAGGGCACAAAGTGGCTTCAAGTTAGATTTTTAACTCAGCTGTCTTAAAACAAGAACTCTTATCTTCTGAAGCCAGATGTTAGTGACCTTACACACAGATTTTGAAAAGGAGGTGATTTAAGAAATTCATTATCTTTCAGTTAATCCCATTGCTTCACACACTTATTCATAATATTCTACACAACATTTAATGTTTATGATTGCCCCCAAAGAACTCTTTAAATTCCTATTGCTGCTAGTAATATTTGTAAACACCAACTCTTTTTTTTTTTTCAGCAAAGGAGAATTACGAGAATCATTCATTTTTTCCTAATCTGCATATTCATCACTCTGCTGATGTGCCCTGAACTCTGGGCCTTTGCTCAGCAGTTTCCTCTGCTTCCAGCATCTGCCAGTTGAAGTCCTATCTGTTCTTTACAATTCCACTCAAACACTATCTCCCCCAATGAGTCTTCCCAGAGTCCCAACCAGCAGCTTACCCACCCTCCTGATGCCTCCAAACTGCTATTTCTGTCTCTCCTGTTCACTTTTATTGCACTTTTGAAAATCTCTCCTATTGTGCAAAGAGACTCATAGAGGTGAACACCTTTAGATCTACATAGTCTGGACTCCACCAGTGGGTGACTTTGAGTATTTTATGTGACGTCTTTAAGCCTCACCATTCTCATGGATAAAACTGGGATCCTAACATCACTTCTCATGTTGTGTTTTGCTGGATTTATTTATTTATTTTAAATGCACTTATCACCTACATGCCAGTCACTCTTCTAAGCACTTTATAAACGTTAAGTCGTTTAGCCTCATGAGCTATATTATACCATTTTGCCCAGCTCCCAGTCGACCTTTCTCTATTCTGGCTTAATGGCTGGAGCTTGGGCCCTACAAATCAGTTCTTTGGCAGCAGAGTTTCTGTTCATTTCTGCCAACAGGGGGCACTAGAAGGAGACTGAGGGCTGGAATGGGAAGATTTTCTCTTCTTTGCTTGCTGTTGGTTCCTTGCAGCATCCCCTCCAGCAACGGCCATTTACCCTGCACCAGCCATTGGGCCCACCCTCTCCAGCACCCTTTCACAGCCTAGAATCAGCTTCCCAGGCCCCCACAGACTTAGCAGCAGGTCTTTTCCACCACAAGTCCAGCTTCTGATGGTCCAATCACTTCGCTTTGTTCCTCCTGCCCTGGAGATGGAACCTGCGTCCTCCAGTTACCACCTGTGATTGCCTTAGCACTCCTTTTCTTCTCACCCAGCCTTCCAGCACCTGGGAAACCAGTTCTTTATATTAACTTCCTCTTGTTGAGATATACTTTGTGTGGTTCTGTCTCCTCAACAGGAACCATCTGTTATAGATCGATACCATTATTATCCTCATTTTACAAATAAAACCCAGAAAAGTTAAATAACTCACCTGAAGTGGGCTGGGATTTAAACCCAGGTTCAGATGTCATGGTGGCTCCAGGACACTAAGGGCTCATGTTTGTAAAGTACTCGGCCAGGCCTGCTGCATGGCCAGCACTAAATGAACAGTGGTTCTCTGATCTCCAGTCATCATGCTTAGCACCACTCTTCAGCCTTGCATCCTACCCAACACCCAGGACAGGGTGTGTGCAATCAATGCCTACTGGATTGAGCCTGATTCCCTAAATATGGGAGGACTGTGGCAGAGAAGGGACTTGAGATAGAAAAGGGCATGGAGGAGACAGTGGGGCCATGAAGCTTCTACATCCTGTTCCTCTGACTCCTTCCTTTGGAGTTGTTTCCAGGGTAACTAATTCTCCTTCTCTTCTTGACTCTCTCCCCACCTCCCTGCCATGCTTCCCCTGTCCTCTGCTTTGGCTTCTTGACTTCTGTTTTTCTATTAAGTAGGAATAGATAGTTCTCTGACATTCTAAAAATATCAAAAGAGGAAATAAAAGGGCAATTTTGTTGGGTAGCAGAAAACATGTT